GTGGGTTTCGGCGGGCGGGACAACAAGGGAGGCGACAGAACCTGCCATCTATGAGGGCCACAGCGCCTTTCCCACGACTACGCAATGGCATAGCTACAGAAATAAAACACAACAACAATAAACATTACACTGAACCAAAGTGAAATATCAAATGCCCGCAGATTAAGAAGAGGAAAAACAATAATCTCAGCGAGTTTATTTCAAGTACAAGTCCAAAGAATTTCCGTTCACAAGTAAGACTGAATGGAAACAAAAACGAAGAAGGTATGGAGAAATGTACCTGGCAAATACCCGCGGGACAATTCCAGAGCATTCTCGAATAAGAATCGGAAATTGCGGATTTGCCTTCTTCAAGCCCACATAGTCACTTTCGATGAAAGCACGTACACCAGCTGAAATACTTCGAACTTGGTGTCATACGGTATAGAAAGGCTACCCTAACACATCGGGTTGTTTGGTGCAATAATGTGCTGAACTGCGGTAGTCTTAACTTTCCTCACGATTTTTTTTTGCCGAAGCGATGTAACATTACAGACAACTTTCTTGCACAGTCCTGCTGCAAAATCCTGCTGCGCACGAGGCAGGGTACACTTTTTTCAGGGGAGAGCACTATTTGTACGGAACGCTCTGCAGACAAGAGAGCACCGACGGAAAGAACTGATCGAAACATTGTGGTCCCTACACGCACAGTCAAACGTTTTCCCTTTTTATTTATTTGGCATTCGTCTATGTATCAAGGCTGCCAAAACAGTCATCCGACGCGAAAGGGCAATGTTTTGAGCAAAACTGAAAACACATGAAAAAACATTTGAAATCGGCGTACAAACGGTGAAGTGATGCGGGAATACTTGCGGACCGCAATAACGGAAAAATGAAGGAAAAATAAAACGCTAAAAACCCGCTCCGAAATGCCCTGTATAGGACTGTGCTTGGACGTGCATAAGGCGAAGAAACGGCGTGGTCGGACGAGCTGTCACTTTTTGCTGGAACGTCTTTCTCCTTACCCCTCATTCTTACAATTCCAAA